TCTACTTGGGTCTTCTGGGGCCGCCTGGTCTGGTCCAATCCAGTCTTGTCAGGAATCATCACTACTGCATCAGTCAGCAGCCACCTAACTTTACAGACATTACAAGTTAAACACTCGTCTCAAATAACACCAAATAGTTGTAGGTAAAATGCAGAATTCAGATTTTTCTCAGCTGATATTCCTCTTGGGTCTTCAAATCATCTGGTCAGGTCCAATCTGTCTTGTCAGGTTCAGACAGGAGTCCTCACTACTGCATCAGTCAGCAGCCACCTAACTATACAGACATTACAAGTTAAACACTTGTCTCAAATAACACCAAATAGTTGTAGGTAAAATGCAGAATTCAGATTTTTCTTACCTGATATTCTTCTTGGGTCTTCTGGGGTCGCCTGATCTGGTCTGGTCCAATCCAGTCTTGTTAGGTTCAGACAGGAATCCTCATTACTGCATCAGTCAGCAGCCACCTAACTATGTAGAGATACCAAGTTACACACTTGTCTCCAAATAATCAAGTAAATGGTACCAAAATGCAGAGTTCCGATTTTCCTCACCTGGCCTGATATCACAAGTCTCATCTCATCTGGACAGGAACACTTGCAGAGCTGGCAGACTCTCGGGACACAGCTAACTACAGGAGTGTAGGAAAAAGAACAAGTTAACAATGTGATAGACATTGGGATAAAACACTGCAAACTAGATACCTTATCGTTAGGCCACACCAATTTAATTTCTTGGTTAACAGATTTTTATAGAAAAATAATGGAGCAGGCGGGTGAAAAAATAAAAAATAAAAACAGGCCTAGGCATCCTATTATGGCCCAAAATGGTACGATAGGAGCTATGAAGTCAACACACCAGGCTGGTTCAAAATTTAAACAATGAATTTTGACCTTTTAATGATACCACTGCATTCAAAGATGGAATAACTGTAACAACCAGGAATAAAAGGACTGTTTTTAACTGTTCAGGGCAAAATATGAGCATTTTGCAGTTGATTCTGAATTTTTATTTTTATTTGCAAATCAGAAAAAAATGAAGCGGGCGAATCCGTTAAGCAAGAAATTAAATTGGTGTGGCCTTATCGTTAAAGCTTCATAAATTTAAATGCTGGTGACTATACATTTTGACATGTCGCTTGGATGCTCCTGTCTTTTAATGCACTACGCTATGGAAGGGCACACATCTGCAACTGACAACGGATACATGAAACTACTAGAGACACAATGATGTTCACTCTGTAAGTACAGAAAATACAGAAATTCCTAGCTAAAATTCTTTAAGTGGACATACATAAGTCATATATCATTAGGTTTGCTCTCCTAGCTTGGCCAAAAAAACAGCACACTAGGGCTGCGTACCTAAACGTAACATCAGGTACAGGTACAGGTACTGGTACAGAGGTTTAGGTACAGGTCCGGACCTGTACCTGTACCTGAACAATTTGACAAATTAACACGTGTTCTTCACTTTTTCAATCATGACACAGAAACAATAATAAAGTGTTGGAGGGAAGGGAAAATGACTGACCTCTGACCTGATTTGAGTTTGTTGACCAATCACAACCCTGGATCAGCCACACTTTCGCGATGTCTCGTTTGACTGAGGATCTCAAATCAATCGACGGTGTTTACGTCTTTTCCAGTGCTAATTTTTCGTCTTTGTGGTAGGATTTACCTATCTTTAGTCATATACATGGTGTAAACTAGCTATTTCGGTATATACTCGTTACTTCATGATCCGGTATTTTGGACCTGTACCGAAACGATTTTTACGGTATTGGACCGGTACAGTGTACCGGTCCGCAGCCCTACAGCACACAGTGATAGCCCTAGATTCTAATATAAAATCACATTTTTCTACCATAAAAGTCACCAAGTCAAAACCATACTAGCCTCTTCTATAATTCAAAGGATGGACATTTATTCAAATCACTGCATTGATAAGTGGAAAACTGTAACAAGTAGAAAAACAGACTTACTTCAACTGTTTGTGTAAAAAATTAGCATTTTGGGGTTGGTACATAACCTGAATATTACAATTACTTGTAGTACACAGTACATGCTTTACTTATGTTGATGAGGAAAAAATGAAGATGAAACAAGAAAGTAGATTGGTGTGGTCTTGCGATTTTATACCTCTCTCAAAAATCTAACCAACTGAGAGTAATGTTTCAAAATACTTTTGAACATTTCACCAACACATTCTAATGTACAAAAAGTTCCACAAATATCCTACCCATCTTTCCTTTGACAGGGAAGGGACACAAATAAATGTTAGACCTGGAAGCCCATTGGTGTATAAAAACGTCCATTTTTTTTCTCTTCAACGTGTCAGGGAATGTTAGAACTAGGATTTAAACAAAGAAGTTAAAAACCGACCAAAAACTAGCGTGTTGCATTCTCAAAATCACACGAATTTACCACGAATATACCGAAACGTGTTGTTCTAAGTTTGTATAGGAAATAAATTCTACGGCACGGCTTGTTGCCTTACCTTGTGAAAACTCTGCCCTCCCCACGACCACGCCGCCATCCTTCGGGCGCCATTTTCTCGTCTTCTCCAAAATCCACCACGTCAGGAAATCCGCATTTTCTTCGCCAAAAACCCGGAAAACGGCACAACTCCTCCGTAGAAACATCCCCGAACATTTCTTCTACACGTTAGACTGAATTTTGTTCGAACTGGAAGCCGAAAATTTACCAAAAAGTTGACAAATAATTCCTGGTCTTCCTCGCGTGCCTCCGACAGACGCAGACTGAGTGGATCGTACCATTGTGACTTTTACACAGCTGTGTACAACAGCTGGTCTAATTTACCCTGATAACCACAACTACTTTACCGCCAAAATCAATCCCCTCACAAAAATAATGGCTCTCTGCTCAAAATTTCGGACTAGTTTGTGTCTAAATAACACACAAGCAACAATTATAGGCAAGGACGTTCAACGTCCTTGTTATAGGTGTCTCCAAAGTATAGCAGGCCGAAATCTGTTAATTCAATCAGCCTCAGCACCACATGATTCTATGCAAACGGTGCCTGTCCTTGGTGCTGAACGCCATCCATACAATGTTAAACACATAGTGATTATAGGTATGGTGAAAACCACAATAGCATTAAGTACAGGGACTTGTTAAAGCTGGCCAAAACTTACAGAAAAAAATGACATACACTTGAGGAAGGTAAGAGTGGAACTGTCAACGGTCTACGATAAATTCACAACGGCATAGGCTACATGTTACGTTACATTCGGCCAAGCTGATTCTGCCTACACGAAAATACAGGCACTAATATAGCTAATTTTACGCCTTTCATAAACTGCAACGCTTACATACGCTACATGCTGTTGTATATGAACCATCTAGTCGTCTGGCTACGAACTGTGTGGGATAGAACGGCCGATTACGCCCCAGGCTTGCAGGCATTCTTCCCAAGAAGTGTACGTGCAAACGGTGCCTGTCCTTGGTGCTAAACGCCATCCGCACAATGTTAAACACATAGTATATGGTGCATATGGTGTATAGTATATGAACCATTTTAGTCGTCTGGCTACGAATTGTGTGGGATAGAACGGCCGATTACGCCCCAGGCTTGCAGGCATTTTTTCAACAAGTTTACGTGCAAACGGTGCCTGTCCTTGGTGCTGAACGCCATCCGCACAATGTTTAACACATGGTACGATGAACACTACACACGCGCGCGCTCGTATTTTTAGCAGTATTGTGTATGGGCCGCTGTAATTGGGCCTATTTTTGTCAATATTAGAGTTCACAAAATCAGGTCTCTGGCTGAAAATACTTCATTGTACAGAGTAGTAAAATTGTCTACAACCTACCCCTGTCTTCATTTATGCAGGCCTTCTAAAATGTTAACATTTTTGCCTATTCATACAAAAAATACACAACAAAAATCTTCTGGAAAATACTGAATAGCGTTTATTTCGTTTCCACAATACTGCTTAGAGGAGTGCACTTAGGAAAATACCTTATTATTTTACAGAGTTTAATTCTGTTGGATTTATAAACCTATTTCATCTTTCTGCACAAGACTTGAAACTTAATGTTACATCACAAACTATTTTGTCATGTTATGCAGAAAGAGAAAATATCAGTAAGCTACACAGTCTACCTTACAACAAATTTTATACAAGACTTAATCAACAGTGCCTCCTCGCAATAGTTTTAGTACATGTTACATGTTGTTATATATACTAGATATATTTAATATACATGAAACGCTTTTTCATAACAAGTTTTCATACTTCATGTTACAAGGACACTTTCAGTGCTTTCAAATGGACAAGACTTCAATACTGTATTTACATGGACTCATACAAATTCTTCCACAAGAAATGTCATAATTCTCCTACAATTCCTTAATGGTTGGAAGGCATCACTACAATATTTCAAGTTGCCATGACCTAAACTGACCATCACAAGAAATCACTCAACTTTTGTAAGAAACTATCAAATTTTGGAAAGACAATAAGGCCATGATGATTTGATTATATGGATGACATCCACGTGGCATGAATTTTCGGCTGTTTCAAAAAAAAAAAAAGTTTTCAACCATACTGTAAATCGTACAAAACAGTTGCAAAATGAGCAAATACATACCGTAACTTGAAGAAAAAAACATTCGAAAACGATACCAATGTTGTAGAATGCCGAAATCAAACAAAAAAGACGAAAATGTAAAGAAATGAATTTGAAGACTAGATTATTCGCCAAACCATACTCTGTGTCACTTGTCCAACCTTCAAGACCACGTAGATTTCAAAATAAAAGCAACTTTTTTTTTGCCAAACTTTTTTTTTATTCGCACGTGCGCATCAGTTTTGGGGTTCCCAGAGGATGTCATCCATATAATCAAATCAACATGGCCTAATAAGCAAAAATTGTAAGAAAATTGTAAGATTGTGTCAATGATGGGCACTGATTGCACACACTATACTTATACATCATTATCAGTTCTTAACACATCTTAACATTAGCCAGGTTTTCTCAATATACAAAATAAATATTATATACAAACACTTTCAAGTTTTGATGTTACTGTGTTCAGTATGGCACTAGTCAAGTTTTTCTCTTGCAAAAAGTAGGAAACTTTTGTAGGTCTTTGAAAACTGTCAGAAAATGTCGAAAATTTGTACAAATCAACCTCTTTGACAAATTCTTACCTCTAAATTGTTACAAATGAAACAAGGGCTTATAAAACTATACTTCAATTTACAATGGAAAAAGTAATTTCGTCTAGTTTCAAAGTGGTAATACAACATAATTATGATACATTGTACATGGAACTATACGTGTTGAAGTTGAGATTAAAATGATACATTTTAAGGCAACAAGTCATTGATAGTTAGTAATCTGACAAGAACATAGAAGTTCAAAAGTCTGTGACAGTGTGTTCTACATTTTTCTTGCTGTTCATGATTTTATAGTTTTGCTGCTTCAAATTTACCATTATGTTCCCATGGTCTATATCAACTTGAATACTATTCTAAAGTTTGACACTTCAACTACAACGTCACTTCGTATAGTACTACACTTCAGCTATGCCTGTACAGCTTTAACTTATACGGTACTAAATGTATCTGTATCCACAAGTGGTTGGGCCAGAAGCTATTGGCAATTTTCAGAAAACTAGACTTAAATTGTTACTGAATTCATACCTCAGGCAACATACCGGTTACAATATTGCAACATGTACACTTTCGTCTAACTGTTTATGTTTTGAGATATAAACAATGTACAGATCTATGCAAGCCTTATGCTGATTATTGTAATTGTTAGAATTTGTGTTTTTTTTTTCAAAGAATTATCAAAAGGTGGGGCTTGTTGGCATCAAGTACAATATGAGCATCCTCACTTGATTTTTTAAATCTTTAAACCAGTATAGCAGAGTGACAATTGTTATTTCTGCAAACTGCGGAAGAAATCTGAACTGTTGAAGATATTTATGAACGTTGCAACAAGACAAATCCATCTATTTACATTCAGAAAAAACTGTACACTCAGAGACATAACAAAAAGTGGAGAAATTGTCTCTTAACTTTACTGAAGTATCATAATTTTCCAATCTTTAAGATTGGTGACTCTATCAATGAGAATATAAAACAATACTTCAGTATTTTTTCTAGGTAACTATGTTTTCTTTTTAATTATGAAAACTGCTGATGTTATGTACACCTTTCATAGTTTTCAGTATCTTAAATTAGTTTTTCCTTATACAATAGACAGAGCCAGACAAATGTTAGATGAGTATTTCATGAGCCAAAAGCGAATTTTCAGTTTAAGCACGTAGCTTAAACTCTTGAGTTTGATTCAGCAGAAGGAAATGTAAGACTTTAAACTGGTGTGAAGTTTTAAAAAAGTTGGGTATCACATAACAGGTATATTTCTTACAGCACATCAGCAAAATGTACTACGCCTGTGTGAAATCTGTAATGTATTGTGCATTGTTCCTTGGCATATTTAAGGATGACAACCCACCTATAGTTTAGAAATGTTGTGTCAGAAAAGATGACATCTGTAACAGGCAAAATTTTAATGCAACGTTGACCAGACATCCAAAGAGAACTGTGAAAAATCCAAGTTTCACACAGGCACAGTACATTCTGTCGAAGTGCTACTAGTATTTCTAACTGGCAACAAAGGACATAAATGCTTAATCTCGTTTTTCTCCATAATACTGCCTTATATCTTAATCTCCAAGCAGATCATACGGTGGCAAGGCAGTAACCATTGGCCAGAAGAGTGTCCATTAGCCACCGAACGTTGGGTGGCCAATGCATGGATACTGTCTGGCCAATGGATACTACCTGGCCAATTTGATACTGTCTTTTGCGGCCACTGAAAGATCTGCATTTAGGAAATACCTAACATATTTTACTGTCTTTTGTGGCCACTGAAAGATCTGCTTGGAGACTAGCATATCTAGCAACTAGAGGCTATTCTATCGGGTAGAGGGATGGTGTAGGGAGCTCTCTGTGGTATTGTATCGTAGATGTGTGCGTCAATGTTTTCTGCGGAACCGAAGGTGTCGTTCTCATAAGGGTTGTCCAGTAAGATGGGAGACTCAGGACTGCTGTAGCTCTCATCATCAGAGTCACTGTGTGTGCTCAGCGGTAGGAAAACTCCTGAAAAGGACAACATATAAAATCCTATGAAGTCCAGAAGAACTACTATCTGTGAATAGTTTCATCATTTTGGTATGTCACTGAACAAAGAGACTTTTCTTACACAACCAAGAGGTTTATTCAGCCGACATTTTGGTGACTGTCTGCCATTCTATTCTACTACTTTAGAAAGTTCTCCAACAAAAGTAGTGGTACTTAAAGGTTACATGAACAATGTATATAACATATCTTGAAAGTTCATCTGTGTTGGTAGAAATCATTATGAAGCAAGTTTAAACTGCTATTTCCAACACAACAAATTGGACTCACCCAAATTTTCGACTGTACAACTCCAGTCTTTGTCAAGGAATGAACAATCCACCGCTTCCGTGATTGCAGTGGATCATAGGTTGTCTCTGGCACCATAGAATTTCTGTAACCTATGATCCACTGCTCACAGAGTCACGTGTGCTATCTGCGTGACGTCACGGAAGCGGTGCATTGCTCATTCCTTGACAAAGACTGGAGTTGTACAGTCAAAAATTTGGGTCCAATTTCTTGTGTTGGAAATTACAGTTTAAACTTGCTTCATAATGTATAACATGATGCGCTCTTTTCCCCAGTAGAGGCTTCACAGTTTAATCAAGTAAGATGACTTGTTGAGCTGATTTAATGTGTGGATTTGTTTACAAACCAAATGTGTGAATGTAGCAGAAAAGATGACAGGAAAGAAAGAAAGAAAAAGTCAGAAACGGAAGTGGAGGCCAGTTATAGCAAACCTTAGCGTGCTTGGTTTTTCCATGGTGTCGAGTTTTACCACGTTTAGAATTACCAGGAACTACAAACACGTAGAACACATCAACACAGAAGAGAACAAGAGGGAGGGGACAACAATACAATGTATGTATTACTATGTTAAGTTAATATATGAATTTACAAAATTATTCCAAAACTCTTCAATCTAATATTGTAAAAAGACGAGATATGAACCGTAAATTAGAACATTAAAGAATAAAAGTCATTTTATTACCTTTTCCTTTATTTGTTAGTTTGGTCCTCATGTCTTCATATCGAGGATCACTGCCACCACAGGCTCCTGAAAAGGACATTCGAAATTCCGTTATTTCATGACTGGAATTGCTGCAGTGCACACAAAGATTGCTAGAGGGCACTCTTTAAGTTAAAATCAACAGGTGGACGCATTTACATTTAGAGTAGAAAAGCAAAAATGATAACTTCCATGCTGAAGTTACGATGTTTCGGGAAGGGTTTTGTGATATCTATTTTATCATAATTTCAGTTCAAGCTGTGTAACATCTACTCTAAATAATGTGGAATAAAGGGTTATAATGGCGTATATGGTGACATAATCCCTGGTCAGGTGCGATAACCACCGAATAAACCATAGAGTGAGCGTAGCTGTATAGTGGTGAAGTCCAAAAGGTGGTCAGTTATTCTAATCACCGACCACTTTTGAGGTTACGGCCTGATAACCGATGGGAAATGGAGCTTTCTGATCGGTTGACGTCGCCCGGCTATATGATAATGTTCGTTAGCGTACCTAGCTCGTTAGGGTCCCTGTTTATCTTGTAGTCGTCGGCCTCTGCGTACACGTGTTCCTCCGCTCCGCCCACCGCACCAAGTTTCTCCATCTCCAGGTTCTTGAAGGACGTGAAGAGGACGTTGTTGGTCATGTTGGGGGGCGCAGTGGGGACGGGGCGCCCGCCGTGAGCTGGTTGATTCCGGTACAGCGGGTTGGGAAGGTCTGGGGGCGATTTCGTGTCCGTAACGGCCGCCGCGACAATGTCATCTGAAGGAGAAAAGTAAGAACCGGTAAGTAAAAAAATAAGTACAAACACTTAGAAATTCTACATCTTGGTAATCTAAATGTGACAACTCTGAAGTTGTTACGTACGCGACTTTTGTTGACTGAAATGTTTTATTTTACACTATGTGACAAGCCTGTAAACTTTGTTTTGGGAAAATTAGACAAACCATCTGATGTGTAAAAATTGGAAAATGTTTACGGTAAGTAATATCTTATCACAGCTTTGATCGAAATGATTCAGGATTTTGTTCCAAACTTATATTATAAACAATTTTGATGCCTGCCCTGGGATCATACCCAAAATCACCTGATTTAGAATCATAAAAAATCAACTTTATAAGGTTCAAAAATCAACATATATTTGTAGAAATCACCTGATTTAGAATCATAAAAATCAACTTTATAAGGTTCAAAAATCAACATCCATTTGTAGAATTATCCTCCAAATCAAAATGATTGCAGACAATACAATTTTTAACCCTCAATCACCCAAGACACCGTGGTTATGATTTTGTACTACACACGTTGACACTTACATGTAAACGGAGATGATATGAAGGTTCAGGATGTCCAGGGAAAGAGTAACACACAAGTGGAAAAAAGAAGACAAATGTTTGTTATGAAGTTGTTAGTTAGCACATCTACAAGCATGAAATATTATCTTTATCATACTACTCTTCAATATGTTACTTTAGGCCACACCAATTTAATTTGTTGGTTCTCGGATTCGCCTCTTCCTCTTTTTCTGATTTGAAAAAAAAGAAAAGATTCTGGTTCTGAGTCAATGCAAAAATGCTTATATTTTGTATAACAGTTGAGGAAAGTCCTTTTCTTCCTAGCTGTTACAGTTTTTCCATCTATCAATGCAGTGGTTTGATTAAAAGTTCAAAATTCATTGCTTAAATATTAACCCAGCCTTTTGTGTTGACTTCATGGCTCCTATTGTAGCATTTGGGGCTATAATAAGATGCTTAGACCTGTTGCTTCATATTTTTTCTGAAAAAATAGGAGAACCAACAAGTTAAATTGGTGTGGCCTTAAGTTCTGACTGCTTGTTTGGCATGTGAAAGATTATGTGTCTCTTTGCTAAAATAGATAATTAGTAACACACATGGTTTAAAATGGTTAAAAAACATTTCAAACATGTTTTGCACATTCAGGTCCTCACCTGCATTTGTGTAGTCATTTGGTCTGGTGGTAGCTTGGTAACTGGAAAGGAAGGAATGACAAAAAGAGTGTTAGTCCTCTCATAAAATTTTTTTGGAAACATTTTCTTGGATCATAATGTATGGACTGACTGCAATCTGTCACTGCTTTTATGGACAAAATTTGATATTTCAAGCAAAGAAATTATGAGTGGCAATGTATCTTGTGTAGATGTGTTTCAAACATATACACCATACATGAAAATTTGTAGCAAGACTTTCTGTACTAAATGTAATATGTTAAGGGAATGATTTTAGCATCATTATGTTTACCAAAGGAAAACATATTGTTTTTGCTCTGTTTCCTCTTCTCCTTCTCCAAACAAATAATGTCAATAACTTGAACCAGACATCTGCCACCATGGTAACTGGTGTAAGCTCCTTGGTTACATATTGTTGCAATTTTATAGCAGGAGGGATTTAGTTTATACATTGTAGCAGGAGGGGTTTGAGTAAGAATTAACAGAGCAGACCATATGCAAAGGTAAACATTATGTTTTTGTTTTGGGAATGTTTCCTTAGTTTCTAGACGTTCCCAGCGCAAGAATACTCACACGACAGACGGGAGCCCGTTGAGTCTCTTCTGTTTCTCCTCGCGGAGTCTGCGCCGGTACCACACCACCACCATGATGAGTAAGACCAGTAGGATGACCATAATGACCACTCCGATGATCAGGGCGATGTGCTTCCCCGCACCAGCAGGGTCCAGACTCTCCACCTTATCTCCTGTTCTTCCTGATAGCACTGAGGCTGTAGAGAGACAAATAGAATAATTACTTAGTATAAAAAATGTGGTACTATTCATTAGCCACTGCCTCCAAAAAACTAGAAAGGCCAATATTTGCTTTGGAGCAAATACAGCGATGGGTTCACCACATTTTACGACGTCATGGCAGGGAAAGAATGAGAAACACAAGGGAAAACAATGATTTACATTGATATAACTATAATATGAAGTAACATACAACTAAAACAACAGTTGGATAGCTATTTCCTACTTTATTGGTTAGGATTTTTAATTGCATAATGCAAACTGTTGATTTTCAAAATAAATAAAAAAACGTTCATGCCCCGCATTCCAATGCTGGAGCAGAAAAGCTTGAAATACCTACCAAAACACTTGAATAAAGACATACTGTCAGTATGGAAATCTCTGTGCAGGTGTTAATCAAGTTAAATCCCAACAGCCAATCAGCAAGAAATGCTCTGTGCAGGTGGAAATGCTCTGTGCTTGTGTTAATCAAGTTAAATCCCAACAGCCAATCAGCAAGAAGTATAGAGGAAAGCTGCATGCCTATTGGTTGATGCCCTGCATTCCATTGTGATGACTCATGCCCAGACGTGGTAATCACGGTACACTAACACAGTAATACATTTGCTATAATACAGCCAAAAAACTCAAATAAAACCATTCTAAAAGCCTGTATCACAATAATTTAAAAAACGCCTAGGGGTATTTGCCCACTGTACCTCCATACCAAATTTCAGGACCTTGGGCCCTAAAATGAAGAAGCTGAATCCATTTAAAAAATGGCAGGAGGAGAAGGAGGAGGAGAAGAAGAAGAAACATCAGAAAAAGCAATATGGTTTCACCACACCACGAACCATAATGATCACAGTTATGTACATATGGCATGGTTTTGTACAGGTGTTAATTGAGTTAACCCAATCAAATCCCAACAGCCAATCAGCAAGAAGAATAGAGGAAAGCTGCATGCCTATTGGTTGCTTGCTCTGCATGCCATTCTGATGACTCATATATACATAGACTAGATATTTTCTTTTAACCTTTCATATCTCTATGTTCCCTTGCAAGTAAATTATCATTTGTAATAAAATAACCCCCAAAACAGTTCAGGAACTCTCAGTGTTATGGGGAGATTTAGCATGCGTTCTTTTATAGTAAGTTAAAAATTATTAAATACATGTACTTACGATAACAAGCTCCTGTCACCCTGTCACATGTAGTACCATTGTCACAGTGGAGACACTGTTGTTTGCAGTACAGGCCATAGTACCCTGGGGAACATTCTGAAAATATAGGGTAAAAAAGTTGTTACGAAACCATCAAGTAATCACAAGAATTATAGATCACAACTATCCCAAAATGATGAACATTTAGGTACATCCGGCTTACAAAATTTACAAGAAATGCAAGTTAATATTCCTGAGATTTTGGCTACACTACATGTAAGCAACAAATCCTTTATACAGGTAATATTCCATTTCAATTCAGCCCTAATTGTTTCTTATCTAGAAATAATGCAAATATGGTTGTTTTATTTCGAGAATACTTAGGCCTAGGAAAAAAAATTGTGTTTCCTGTTTCCCAACTGACCCTAGAAAAACCAGCCGACCCTAGCCTTTTTTTGGGGGGGGTGGTCCTCTGCAAGGGACATAAATAATTTAATTTTTCGAGCTGATCAACCTTTTCTAGCTCCATGATCTGACACCAGAGTAATAAAACATTGTACAATTGGTTTTCTAAGAAAGAAAAAAAAGATAATTTCTATCTACCGATCCTAATTTTTTCAGGACAGAAACAGGAAACACAACATTTTTTTTCCTAGGCCTTAGGAGAATATTTTTTGAGAATATTTACCTTGATCACAGAACCTCCCCATGTAGCCAGCCTTACAGTAACAGTCTCCGTTCACAGGGTCACAACTTGCATCATTCTCACACAGACACTGCTCCTTACAGTCTTTACCATAGTGGCCATGGTCACAACCTAAAACACAGAAGAAGAAAAAATCAAACATTTAAAAAGCAAAAGAACAGGCCACAGGAAGAATAACTACTGTCAAGTACATGTATGCTAAGTGTGGATACTATTTATACTAATAAACTCAAACACAATCATATAAAAAAATTATACAAGAAAAGTAATAAAACAGCCATTACCATAGTAATCATATAATGATAAAAATGATTGTTACCTTGAACAAAAGGGACAATATAGAACTACATATTCAATATTAAATAAATTCAAAGAACAAAAAAGATACACCTGGTAAATAAAGACGATGATTCATATGTATAGACATAACATGAAAACCATAGAAATGATCAAATTCCGAGAAATAAACTTATGGATGCCCAGTTTTAATGTTGCATCCATTTTGTAAGTAACATAAACAAATCAAAGCAAACCAAATCTTACTTTCTGAACATGTAGGCCCTCTCCATCCCCTAGAACAGTTACAGACCCCTGAGACAGGGTCACACTGTGCTCTGTTAGCACAGTCACACGGGTACCGGCACCCATCTCCAAACATACCCTGGGGACAAACTGTGTGCAGCACAAGAGACACAGACATTAACCAAGGAAAATCAGGTGCCGAAATCAACATAACATCATGTAGTGCTGTGTAAATCCACATATAGGTTCAGGTCTAAATCAAGTCCAGAGGTTTAGGTTCAGTTCCGGACTCGTAAGTCTGGACCTAAACCCATAGCATATACAAAATTGCATGTTGGCAACTTTGCAAAGTTGTTGGGACAAACTTTAGCCACATAACATGGTGGCTGACACATGGCAATGTTTTCTTCATTTTGCACCACAGATTTTGGAATCTATGGAAGGTTTTAGGTGGTTTGAAAAGAAAAAGGGGTATGTGACATGTTTTTTTCTGGTAATAAGTCCAGAATCGATTCTTGACTTTTAGGTTTTTTTTTTACTTGAACCTAAACATTTTTACAAGTCCAGAACCGGTCCAGCGAACCGGTACACAGCACTACTGTTATGTACTGCACAGAATAACAAGGATCTATATAATTGAGTTCTTATAGACAGAACCAAGAAGATTTGGCGCACTATAAAGTGTTAATTATTGTATAGAGAACTCAAACATTACTCAGGGAAAACCAGGTGCCAAAATCAACAGAACTGTTACATGTATGTACTGCATAAAATAACACATATATAAGGCATTCTATAGATGAATTCTTATAGACAGAGCCAAGAAGATTTGGCACACTATAAAGTGTACATTACTGGAGCAAAATCAGGAGGACTGGTACAACATGTATATGTAGAAAGTAAATGTCATTTACCACATAAAACACTACAATGGCTCTGTAATTGAATGTCATACATTCCACCTGACAAAACACAGACTGAACAACTTTTAGGCAGGCTTGAACATTGAGTTTCTGACTTTTTGTTGATTTATTTTACAATTCTAAACTTCTAATTAATAAAAACAGAAAAATACTTTACACCAACTGTAAATTAAGATGTAACACTCACCATCTTCACAGTCCTCTCCTTTGAAACCCCTTGGACACCTGTTTCAAAGACGTGAAATATGTATTTTTTAATCAAAAGGACCTAGACCACATTTTCTGTACAATCAAAATAAACCACAACACCATCTCACGTTAAGACACTCAGCTTCAAGAAAGCTATTATCCAAACAGTGTCACCTAGACCTCTACTTTAAAAAAAATGTTGATTTGTGTGTTTATTGTTGATTTTGTGATGTGATGTAATGTGTGTCATTTTAATGTATTTACTGTATTAACTTTTTGTGCCATGTAATTACAATGTATGTCATTTTAAATGTACGTGTGTGAGCCTTGGAAGATTAGCCCAGCAGGTTGCGTAATAAGTCAAAAGAAAAATGATACTTTTAATGAAGAACACACCTGCAGCTGCCATCAAAAGGTGAACAGGTGCCCCCATTCCGACAGGTGCACCTGTGACTACAGTTCAGTCCATAGTACCCATCCTGACACTCATGTTGACACCTGTAAACCAAGGGAGCAAGTCTTAATAAAGGATTATGGCAAACATATTGTTTTTGCTCAGTTTCCTCTTCCTCTTCTCCAAACACTAACCTCTGACCTGGTCTGTCACCATGGTAACTAGTGTAGGGTTACATAATGTTGCAATTTTACAGCAGGAGGGATTTAGACTCCTGTCTGCCCATATATTTGTTTGAGTAAGAATTAACAGAGCAGAACATGTACGAAGGTAAACATTATACATAAATGAATACATTTGCTTTGCAAATGTTACCTTTCTAGTTAAAAAAATTTCTTACCTTTTCCCCCTGTACCCAGGCAGACACTGGCAGACCCCGGTACGTGGGTTACAGGGACTGGTCTCACAGCTGCACTGTTTCAGGCAGTTAGGGCCATAGAAACCCACATCACACTCCTTCTCACATCTGGGGAATACAACAGAAAACCACAATATTAAAGGCATCCATTTCAATTTCAAAGCAGCAAAACTGGAAATATTTTGAATAAGGCAATTTTTATGATATTGACACAAACTGCTTCACATTAGCACATTTCAATCATTTATTTCATACTTTGGGTATTTAAAACTGCAGAAACAAGCCCCAAGATGAGTCCTTTATTTTATGGGAGGTACCCTAAAAATCAGCCAAGGGCCCTTCCAGTAACCATTTTCCGTCAGAATTTTGGGTATCTTTGCAAAGTTGATTTCAGGAGTTGTTTAAAGCTTTCTAGTGATGATGCCACAACTGTACTTGGTGGCAACGAGTTCCACTCCACGATAGTTCTAGGAAAATATGAGTTCTTGAACATCTCAATTCTTGGTTGATAACTCTACAATTTGAAGGCAGAACTGTTGCTTGTTCTTTTCTGGGCTGGTGTCAGATAACATACATTCAAACACTACCAAAAAACATAACTGTCCACACTATGCATGATGTACAAAATGACTAATAAACTGGTGGACGTCCCAACTACTAAGTACCTAATACCTGCCCAGAAGAGAACAAGAAATAGCCATGCCTTCAAGTACCAGAGTTATCAATGGAGGATCGAGGTGTTCAAGAATTCATTCTTTCCTAGAACTATCGCAGAGTGGAACTCACTGTCACCAAGTACAGTAGGGGCATTGTCATTAGATAGCTTTAAACAATGTCTAGAGTTAGAAGTTCAAGGGCTAGGTGTAACAAGTCGATCGGTGTAATGTAGCCAGCTGCCGCCGCGCCGCGTGCCTGCGAAGATACAGGTAACTGTCTAGCCAACAGTAACAACAGTAAGTTACCTTTCTCCCGAGTATCCAGGTGGACAGCTACACTGTCCTGTAGTGACGTTACAGACAGCTCCGTTGTGACAGTTACACGTACCGGAACAGTTGATACCGTACGTACCCTCAGGACATGGCTCACCACACACCTCATTCTGTGAAAACATACAACATTAACATAAGAGCTCACAGACCTACCCTGAACCGAGACGGGAGGCGACACAAGTTATCTGGCATGTATAACCTGCTACTACGATCACGTTGGGCGACACATGAGTTATCTGGCACGTATGACCCGCTACTACGGTTACGTGTCTCTGACGTCACGTTCCAAGAGTAGACGGGTCCATTCCATGAACAAGGTTGAAGGAGTCAGCCAAAAATTTGGGGTAAGTCCCAATTCATTCCAGTGTTGGAAAGAAAGTTTAGTTTTCATTTCATAATGACTAAGTCTTGTACCAACACAGATGAACTATACCAACATTCATCTTTTTTAATTCGCTTAGAAAAATTTGGTACCAAAATGCTATATTAGATTAATTTTGATAGTATGGAGAAGATTCTTTGAAATTTCATGTAACAGATTCTTATTTTGAATTTTTATTTTCTTTATAGCCTGAAGAAACAGTGTTTAGTAAAGTCTTGATTATGGAAACAGAAGGCACTACTTCCATAAATAGTTTAATAAGGTTGGTAAAATATAGGATACAGGAGTTCTTTTAATGACAAAGATTCCTCACCTAAGTACTTACTCACCTAACCCAGCCACGTTTGGGATTGCAAAAGCGCCACCTACATCAGCTACATACAGGGGCGAGAAGCAGAACTCAAGTCAGAAGCTCTGAGGAAGGTGTCTGATAGACACCAAAATGTCAGCATTTAGGTGAGGAATCTTGGTTGTGAAAAAGAAAACTCCTGTGTCCTAGAAGGCACTTATACTTACAGTAAAGCCGGCTCGACATTCGCACAGCCCGTGGATATGGTGGCACGTGGCGCCGTTTTGACACTGACACTCCTGCGCACACTGGTCTCCATGGAAACCAGGACTGCAACGCTGCTCACAGCTACAAAATGAAAAACAATTCGTACATAAGTCAGTTTTTCTAAACAGGGGAATAAGGGCGCTGCTCCCTCATGTAACCAGCCAGTGCCCTTATATCTATTTATGTTTACCGAAGGAAAACATTGTTTTTGCTCAGTTTCTTCTTCTTCTTCTGTTCCAAACACTGAACTCTGACCTTGTCAATGACCTGATTTGTTGCCGTCTCTCACCATGGTATATGGTGTTTGTTACATAATGTTGTCATTTTATAGTAGGAGGGATTTATACTCTTGTCTGACCATATATATGAAACTATTGGAGTAAGAATTAACTGAGCATTTGCTTTGAAAATGATACTTTTCTAGTTTCAGATTGAGTACACGGGTCCATTCTGTGAACAAAGTTGATGGAGTCAACCCAAAATTTGGGTAAGTCCCAATTCTGTAATCTAAGTGTTGGAAGTTAAAGCTTAGTCTTTATTTCATACTGTAAGAAAATACTTACTATGGCCCAGTGAATCCAGCACTGCAGCTACAAGCCCCTGTGACAGGATCACAGGTAGCCCCGTTCTGACATTGGCAGGTCTGACGACAGCTTTCCCCGTACGTACCCGCCGGACAGAAGAACTCACAGTGGTCTCCGTAATGTCTGCAGAGGAAAACAGTTTGTTATAAATACGAAATTAATTTCAACAGATTTGGGCATAGTACATTGTTTAAACCGGTGCAATAGCTCAATTGGTAGGGAGGTCGTGAGTTCAAACCCCGGCCAGGTCATACCAAAGACTTTAAAAACGGTACACACTTCTTTCTCTGCTTAGCACTCAGCACATATGAGAAAGAGTGTGGGAAGGTCAAACACACATCACTACCAGCGGACTAACCCCCTGCTGTAGTGCCCTGCACAACTGTGTGTCGCCCAAGGGCTACGGAAATGAACATGGGCACCACAACCTATGCTCTGTATAGAGCACAGAAGACTCCAGTCAGAAGCTCTGAGGAAGATGTCTGACACGCATCGAAATGTAAGCAGCTGAGAAACACTACTGGTTGTGTAAGAAAATACATTAATATCCTTGTTTGTTATACCAGATACACACCAACAACATGAATGTTTTCCAGGGCCCCACTGTAATTTAGTGTAAAGCAGTGGTATGACACTGAAGAGAAAGAGAAACAAATAAACAAACAAACAAACAAACAAGCTGTACGTACCCAGGTAGACAGGCACATGAACCATCCACAGGGTTACATGTAGCGTTGTTAAAACACAGGCACTGCTGCAGACAGTGGGGGCCGTAGTGCGAGTTGTCACAGGCTGGAGAGAGAAGAAAAAAATTAGGTTACTTAAAACATTTCCCTTTACTCTTTTATCTTGTAACAAAGGTAACCTACAATCCCTACACTTTTGTGAATAATTTCAGCAACAAGCTTAAGATTCTTCCGTGAATAGTTTCATCAGGTTGGTAAGACACTGAGTAAAGAGACTCTTTTTAAAAAACCAAGTGTTTTATTCACAGCCGTTTTGGTGACTGTCTGTCACCTTCCTCGGGGCAATTCTGACTGGTTCACATTGCACTGCAGCACAGGTGTCGCTGCTGTAGATGCATTCCAAAACATACAACATTTACACATCTACACATATGCATGATGCTGCAGTGCAATGTGAACCAGTCAGAATTGCCCTGAGGAAGGTGACAGACAGTCACCGAAACGTCAGCTAAATAAAAGTCTTGGTTCTGTAAAAAGAGTCTCTTTTTACTCAACAAGGTTCTTGATTCAACAACAAGTAGGTTTTCATCTGATGTTTTGGTGACTGCTTGTCACTTTCTTCTGAACTGAACCAGTCAGAATTGCCCCGAGGAAGGTGACAGACGGTCACCGAAATGTTGGCTGAATAAAACACTTGGTTGTGTAAAAAGAATCTCTTTACTCAGTGACTTTACCAACCTCATGAAACTATTCACCAAAATGTCAGATGTTACATGTAAAACCAACTTGCTGTTGAATAAATAACTTACATCTCACACAATCTTCACACTTGAGAAATTAAAAGCTCTATCATTATCAGAAGTAGTTGTGCACATTGCTAACTCAGGTGTAAGCAATTGTCACAGCCCTGCAACCAAACCCTTCCATTTAGACCACCACCCAAGGACACTGGCATAGACACCTTTCCACCATCTTTTCACCAAAGTATCCGTAAATCTTGGGAAGCCATTAATTTATAGACACTCCAGTGCAGATTTTAGGGTTTGGAAACTCAATTTTTCAAGGTCAACATTCTAGCTTACATATCTACATACTGAGTTGAAACCACACTGTCCCAAATGTATATTGACCTTCATGGAGCAAAAATTTCCAACGTTCTGACAGAAAATGGTTACTGGAAGGGCCATGGGCTGATTTTTACGGTACCTCCCAGAAAATAAAAGACTCATCTTGGGGCTTGTTTCTGCAGTTTTAAAAGCCCAAAGTATGAAATACTGATTCAAAAGTGCTAATCACAAAGATTGCCTTATTCAGAATATTTCAAGTTTTGCTGCCCTGAAATCGCATTGGATGCCTTTTAATCTCTGAAGCTTGCTGTGCCACCAACATCAGCACCCAACTGCAATTATACCATATTTGGTTCAGTCCTAAGTATGTGATTGTTAACTCCTGAGTCTCTATCCCCGTATAGAAAACCACAGATCACTAGCCGACACGAAAACATGCCAAGGGTCATCCTACTGTTGAAGCTATAGGATTAAGTTCAGCAAATTAGAGACAGGTACAGTCAATAGAAATCAACACAGCCTTCAGATTGGAGAGGGGGTCTTGGAGCTGAAGAGGTGTGTGAATGGGTAAGGCCACAGCAAGTAATTTGTATGGATGACATCAGCTCGCGCATTAATTTTCTCCTGATTTTGAAAAAAAAAGAAAGAAATTTTGTTGCCTTCTGACAGTGGTCAACATACCGAAAATGGGCAAAGATGTCTGTTGCCATGCCGGAACGTGGATGGCAGATAATTATAAAGAGAGGAGACAAGAAAATGCCCTGATTTAATGTTTTGTTTCTTACTTTGATGCAGTGATATGTAATGTTGGCTGTGTATATGTGGTGTTGCCACTGAATCAAAACCATTTGTACAATGATTGAGTCAAATTTTAAAATGTAGAAACCTTGTTTTTTTTGGGCCCACCTTGCTTTTTTTCGCCCGCTCGCATTAGATTTGGAGTCTGCTGAGGATGTCATCCGTAAAATTTACTTGCTGTGGCCTAGGATGGCCCCAGGTGATGTCCAAATGTCAAATCGCACAGGTGTCTCTTAGCATAATCCCGAATGACCTCATTTATTCCAGCCGGATTACCAACTTGAAAGCCAGGGTGAACCAGTGACGCCATCGCGGGTTTTGCCGTCTAAGCACGCCTTTTTGAAGATGGCTTAGGAACCCAAAGATTGGGAAAGCGGTGGGGCAATTACAGTCTTTCGTTAAACAAAAACGAAAAATCAAAAACATGCTTTCGTGATTGTTCTCACATAAGAAGGAAAAATGCTTGTCAAATTTTGGAAAAATTTTGTCTAAGCACGCCTTTTTGGAGACGGCTTAGGAACCCAGAGATTGGGGAAGTGGTGGGGGCAATTATTGTCTTTCGTTAAACAAAAACACAACAAATGAAAAACACGCTTTCGTGATTGTTCTGACGCATAACAAGGAAAAATGCTTGTCAAATTTTTGAAAATTTTTGTCTAAGCACGCCTTTTTGAAGATGGCTTAGGAACCCAGAGATTGGGGAAGTGGTGGGGGCAATTATTGTCTTTCGTTAAACAAAAACACAACAAATGAAAAACACGCTTTTATGATTGTTTTCGCATAACAAGGAAAAATGCTTGTCAAATTTTGGAAATTTTGTCTAAGCACGCCTTTTTTGGAGACGGCTTAGGAACCCAAAAGATTGGGAAAGTGGTGGGACAATTATTGTCTTTCGTTAAACAAATAACAACAAATAAAAAAAACATGCTTTTATGATTGTTCTATAGCATAACAAGGAAAAATGCTTGTCAAATTTTTGAAAATTTTTGTCTAAGCACGCCTTTTTGAAGATGGCTTAGGAACCCAGAGATTGGGGAAGTGGTGGGGGCAATTATTGTCTTTCGTTAAACAAAAACACAACAAATGAAAAACACGCTTTTATGATTGTTTTCGCATAACAAGGAAAAATGCTTGTCAAATTTTTGAAAATTTTTGTCTAAGCACGCCTTTTTTGGAGATGGCTTAGGAACCCAAAGATTGGGAAAGCGGTGGGGCAATTACAGTCTTTCGTTAAAAAAAAACGAAAAATCAAAAACCTGCTTTCGTGATTGTTCTCACATAAGAAGGAAAAATGCTTGTCAAATTTTTGAAAATTTTTTGTCTAAGCACGCCTTTTTGAAGATGGCTTAGGAACCCACAGATTGGGAAAGTGGTGGGGCAATTACAGTCTTTCGTTAAAAAAAAAACAAGAAATGAAAAACATGCTTTTGTGATTGTTCTTGGAAACAACAAGGAAAATGCTTGTCAAATTTTTGAAAATTTTTGTCTAAGCACGCCCTTTTTGAAGACAGTTTAGGAACCCAAAGATTGGGAAAGTGGTGGGGCAATTACAGTCTTTCGTTAAACAAAAACAACAAAATGAAAAACACGCTTTCATGATTATTCTGGCATAACAAGGAAAAATGCTTGTCAAATTTTTGAAAATTTTTTGTCTAAGCACGCCTTTTTTGGAGACGGCTTAGGAACCCAAAGATTGGAAAAGTGGTGGGGCAATTACAGCCTTTCGTTAAACAAAAACACAACTAATGAAAAACATGCTTTCATGATTGTTCTCGCATAACAAGGAAAAGTGCTTGTCAAATTTTTGAAAATTTTTGTCTAAGCATGCCTTTTTGAAGATGGATTAGGAACCCAAAGATTGGGAAAGCGGTGGGGCAATTACAGTCTTTCGTTAAACAAAAAACAACAAATGAAAAACACGCTTTCATGATTGTTTTATAGCATAACAAGGAAAAATGCTTGTCAATTTTTTGAAAATTTTTGTCTAAGCATGCCTTTTTGAAGAAGGCTTAGGAACCCAAAGATTGGGAAAGTGGTGGGACAATTATTGTCTTTCGTTAAACAAAAACACAACAAATGAAAAACATGCTTTCATGATTGTTCTCGCATAACAAGGAAAAATGCTTGTCAAATTTTTGAAAATTTTTGTCTAATAATGCCTATTTGAAGACGGCTTAGGAAGCCAAAGATTGGGAAAGTGTGGGGCAATTACAGTCTTTCGTTAAACAAAAATGACAACTCAAAAACATGCTTTCATGATTGTTTTCGGAAATAACAAGGAAAAAAAATGCTTGTCAAAAATTTTTGAAATACTACAAAGTTGTACAACATCATGACTTGAAAACTTCAAAGACAGTGCTTTAATTTCTATCATTTCCAAATCTTCCTAACACTTTACAATATTGCATAATGCTACACAATGTAAAACTTTTTAAAATGCTATACTATTACTAGAATTCAGTGTACAATATGTCCTTATTACACTATAAATAGCCCAAGAAATGACATGTTACTATTCAGCATGAAAGTCTTTGATCTGTCTTTCTTCTAGACAATTTTCAGACATCACAGAGAAAACCCTATAATTTTCAACGTCATTACTCAAATTTGTCTTAACCCCATTGAAGATTCACAGCAACATCTTGAAGAGAAAAGGAAATCTCCTAAAGCTACGAAAACGTGGAATATGGTTGTCAAAGGATAAGGGGCAAAAGTATGGCTCAAAGAGGTGTGGGTAGTGTTGTGTACCAGTTTGCTGGACTGGTTCTGGACATGTAAAAATGTTTAGGTTCAAGTAAAAAAAAACCTAAAAGTCAAGAACCGATTTTGAACTTGTTTTGAACATGTTTTTAAAAAAAACATGTCGCATACCCCTTTTCTTTCCAAACCAACTAAAACCTTCCATAGATTGCAAAATCTGTGCTGAAAAATGAAGAAAACATTGCCATCGGGCATCGTCAAGTGTCGGCCTCCATGTTACGTGGCCACAGTTTTGCCCAAACAACATTGCAAGGTTGCCGACATGCAATTTTGTATATGCCATGCATGGGTTTAGGTTCAGACTTACAAGTCCAGAACTGAACCTACAATGTAAACCTCTGGACTTGAATCCGGACCTGAACCTGAATGTGGGTTTAGGTACACAGCACTAGGTGTAGGCATCTTTGCTGATGACACAAACATACTGTTTCTTGTCAAGTTTGAATTGAGCTTGATCTGTGGTGATTAAGTAATCCTATAATCTCTTTAATCCTGTAACTGCCTTGGCGCATCAACACAAGGACAGACTGACAAGTTACAGAACTCGGTAGAAAAAGAACCTAGTCAGGACAACAACAAAGACTTACCTGTATAATAATTATAAATGAAATAAGCTGGATTTACGATGTTCTCACTGTGTGTAGCAAGGAATTTTAATCTGAGTCAATGATAGGACAATTTTTGTAATTTAGTTTTGGGCTTTTCAAAACTGTGACATGTTAAATACACAGTAGGCCTGAAAACAAGTGAAATAGTTTGGATATTTTTGGTGACAAAGGATGGAAAATAATAAAAATTTCTTATTTATCTATTTATTGTTTATTTCAGGGATGACGGCCCAAAGTTTACAAACACTTAACATCACACAAACACATATAAAAAATACATCAAAGTATTTACAGATAGACCCAACTCCCGAAAATAGTGGGTCACCCAATTTTTTTGTTTGTATGTTTTTTTTTTTGGCAATGGCTCAGGGGTGGATACATTTTCTGTTTTTGCATGTTTTCTCAGGGCTTGAAATACCACCTGCAAATGCATCTTAGTATAGTTAAATTGGAACTGTGCAACTAATTCTGATATCTACCTGCACCAAATCCATGTACTGGGTTTATATACAAATGTAGGTGTACATGGACTTTTATTTTCATTGACTGTTACCACCACCACTGAATGATTTCTGAACAGTTTTAGTGTGATCCATACTTCCTAAATTCTGAGTAGTGCAGGTAAAATTTGCCTAGTACAGCTAATTTTCAATGTTACCTGCACCAGTGCAAGTATGCAGATAAATGTATTTCCAGAACTGTTTCTGGGGACTGAGGCCTAACCAGGGGTTTACTGAAGACCTATAATACGTACCACTACTGCAAGTGTCCCCCCTCCACCCAGCCTCGCAGGAACACTGGTTCGGTGACTGGCAGATCCCATGGACACACTGTGGCTGGCATACAGCTGGGGGAGAAAATATGAGAGAAATTATTTTTCAGTTCCCAAAGGTACTCAAAATATGCATTGTTTGATGGGTTTGAATATGACTTACTGAGAGACAGTCATTGAGAATATTACCATTTATTTCTTCATTTATTGGTTTGGCTGTTCATAATATTAGTAGAATATTACTAGAATTCACAATTAGAGTCTATGGCAAATATAGAAATATAAGAAGCTATTATCTTATAATAAAAGTTTATCTGTGTTGGTAGAAATCATTTTGCCTTAAGTTTAAAGAGTAATTTCCAACACAAAGAATTGGAGTTACCCAAGTGTAATTGTGTAAATGCTCGTTTCTTCACTGAGACTGAAGTTGTACAGTCAAAAATTTGGGTAAGTCCATCCGTGAATAGTTTCATTAGGTTGGTAAGACACTGAGTAAAGAGACTCTTTTTACACAACCAAGTCTTTTATTCAGCCGATGTTTTCGACAATTGGGAATGTATTTTAGCAGTGACACCTGTGCTGCAGTGCAATGTGAATCAGTCAGAATTGCCCTGAGGAAGGTGACAGACGGTCACGGAAACATTGGCTGTATAAAAGACTTGGTTGTGTAAAAAAGAGTCTCTTTACTCTTTGGGTAAGTCCAATATTTTGGAAATTACAATTTTGACTTATGGCATAAAAGCCTTCTCATAGCCTGGCTCTCAGGCATTATCTGTTGCAGTCTCCTTGACTCACCTTGACAGTAACTGCCTACTTCAACATAGCCTGCACAGCACCTGTATACAGCCTGCACCTGGGATATCCATTTGGACTCATACTGTACTCTGTACATGGTCCTGGAAAAATACAGCAAAAACATTATTATTATTTTCACAGGTTCTTTTCGTTGGCAATCATGGCAGAGAAGAAAAAATTATTTTTTTACAATCTTCTCTAGTTATAATATATATCATGCAAAAATTGGCAGCTTTGAATTCTTCGTTTTTGAATTAGAACATTTATTGCTTTCTTCTTATGAATATTGGTCTGTCTCTAGTAATCTTTTCACTAGTTATATGCAAAAATTGTCAGATTTTGAATTCTTTGTTTTTAAATTAAAAAGAATTTTCTCATGAATATATTAGTGTGCCTTTTACCAAGGAGGTTATACTCCATACAAGGCCACATCAATTTAATTTGTTGGTTCTCGGAGTTTTTCAGAAAAAATATGAAGCAACAGGGCAAAAAAAACCCCCAAGTCTAGGCATCCTATTATAGCCCCAAGTGCTACAATAGGAGCCATGAAGTCAATACAAAAGGCTGGGTTAAAATCTAAACAATGAATTTTGAACTTTTAATCAAACCACTGCATTGATGGATGGAAAAACTGTAACAACTGGGAAGAAAAGGACTTTCTTCAACTGTTGTGGGCAAAATATGTGCATTTTTTAGTTGATTCAGAACCAGCATATATTTTTTTTTTGCAAATCGGAAAAAAATGAAGAGGCGAATCCGAGAACCAACAAATTAAATTGGCGTGACCCTACTGACGATATTTGGGCAATGAGAAAAAAATTTCACTCTTTTCCAATTTCGATTCAGAACCAGCATCTTTAAAAAAAAAAATGAAGAGGCGAATCTGAGAACCAACAAATTGAATTGGTGTGGCCTAACCTCCTTTGCTCTCACAAACAGTGACAAAGCAAAAAAGTGCAGTAAATGCTTCAGATGCACTGGCTACACTGGTATGTCACCTTGCATACTCCGGCGATTGTGGTCTACAATTCAGACAGAACCGGTACCAAACACCCAACCTTTTGTCTGCAATTCTAGCGTTTCGGCCAGCAATGTCGTGTTCTAACTTTACCGACAACAAAACAAGACCCACAACACCAATATTTCCTGCGGCATTTAACCCAATCACTGCTGAAAATACAAACACTGTGTTCTTCTATTCCTCTTTTTCCTGGCAGCAAGCCTATACATGTACATGTATATGTCTCCCTTCTATGATTTCATAACAACACAGGGCTCAAAATACTGGGTGCATGTGCACCTTAGTGCACCCAAATTTGGAGCTGTGCGCCCAATTTTTTTCTGTGGGTGCAATGGTGCACCCAATTTTTTTGTAGGTATTTTTGCACATATCAACAGTATTCAGGATATTCTTGGCATCTAAGTGTCAGAAAATAATCAAATCTTTGTTGAAGTACTTGTTTAAAATTTTGAAGTTAGCTCCCATTTCACATTCAAGCTCAAAAGAGGAGCAGTAAGATCTGTAATTAGGTTTTGTTTCATATGGTGCACCCAAAAAAAATTTGTGCACCTAATGCTTTAGGTTGGGTGCACCGGTGCACCTATTCCCAAAAATGAATTTCAAGCCCTGAACACTAGTACCTACAGCAGTTATTGTGCTATGGTGGGGCTCTCCTGTGAGAATGTATACATGTGCTTTTGTAGGATTGCTTTGTAAGAATGCATAACTGCATGTCTGTGTCTCCTGTCTGAAAACCCACCTACAATAGAAGTCGTTGGAAAACAATACCTACCCTGCTCTTAGCTTAACAATAACATCCGCTATAGGGTGATGTCACACTTTCGGGCCTTAAGTAGGCAACAGTGAACCTTTGGTCACTGATGAACTTAATAAAATTGCTTTTATTTCTGAAGATTAATGCTTAACTCTTGCAGTTGAAAATATACTACTCCTTTCAAACATGAAAAAAGTCGGCACTTTTTGGTTTCCAATATTTACACGATTGTAGCAACTTTTTAAAGAATTGCGTGATTGCATCTTTTCATGTCTTCCTTTTTGTCCAACAAAGGGTAACTTTCTGATTAGTGCTCTACATACGATACAAACAGAAATGTATGAAATGCTTAGAAAGTAGAGTATAGAGTCCAGTTATGAGTTGGTCTGTAGGCTTAGTAGAGACACCATGTTTTCAGGCGCCATAAGAGCTTGCTTTGTATAGCACCAGTCAACCCGAACTGCCAGCACGGTCTACGCCATCGCACAATCGTCTGGAAAACCCTCGTCTGAACGCAACAAAATTACGCCACCTTGTATACCGTAGGGATCTTAGCACGGCAAGCCTGGATTGTAAAGGTGCAGTCGTCTAGGGATAAGCTCGGAGATCTAAGCTGCTTTTTATGCGTACGCAGGAAATGGTCAAGTGGCCTTCTGTTTGATTTGGAGTTTTGTTCTGCTTTTGAATACATCTAAAGAGTAACAGTTGTATAGAACTGCACACTACTGTTATTAAAAAAGAGACCAGCCAATATATACAGATTAACTAGTGGAGAAAATACAGTGTATCGGCCTAAATAATGACAGGTAAGGTACTAGAAATGGGGCATTGTTTGTTGAGTGGATAAAAGTACTGTTGACCTCATGCGGCATTCATTATACCACTTCAGTTTGGATAATCAGGCTTTGCAAAGAAGGAAAGTCAACAAGTGATTTAGTCACACTCAAAGGATGTGTATCTATGTAGCTTTTGAATGGAAGTGATGTTTTCTTTCTGTTGATACTTTTGAACATACATTTTGTAGCCAAAGTAAACCAAGCCTTGCAAGTTATTGCACTAAATGTAAATGTATGTGCCTCACTTTAGATCTTATTGTGAACAGTTTCTAAAAATAAAAATCACTATACTATACTTAAATATTTTGTGTTGAGAGCTCATGTAATGGAATATAAGTATTGCTGACCCCGACTCAGTTTTTGGTTGAACCATTTTAAAGACACCAAGCAAGAAACTGCATTGTAGATATTTTTTTGACCTCTATTTAATCTTGAAGTTACATTGTCGGCCGTGAATATGTAGTGTCATGTCATGTTGTAGCATATAGTATAATGTTAGAAGTAGATATAGTCTCACATACCACTGTATTTTCTTTCTATGTTGTTTTTAACTGCAATTAGCCCTCGTGCAAGTATTTGCAATAAACTTTCTATGATTAATTAATAACTCAAGTTATTCTTTAGTTTATTTATTATGTTAGTTTTATGATTAATATTTCCTAAATTTCAAGGAGGAGGACGTTGTACAAGCCTTGCAGGCTTCTTTCCTCCTCATGCACACTGTTTTTTTTCCTTTGTTTTGCATATTTGTTGATTAATGGGGGCCTGCATGGGGGGGGGGGATCCCGACAACGCTCTACGCTAAATTAGGAAGACTCTTGATTACGCTTTACGTTAAATTCCAATTGGCTACAACGCATTAAGTGGGACTAAATCGGCGAATACGCTCTACACAAAATGTGCCAATTATGCTCTACATTGAGCGGTCCGTCTACGCTTTACATAGAATCAAAACGGCCGATTACGCTCTACGGAAACGTTTCATTTGTGCAAATGAATAAATGAAATTAATGACAAACCTTCTGCGTGTACATCGGAAGAGGTTGATAATGTCTGTACAGGAGGTGTAGTAGACTTGTTCATACGGTTTGGTTGCAGAGACACGTCTGCTCACCAGCACCCTGTGTAGAAAAATAAGAAGGTGGGGAGGGGGCACAGAAAGATTCAAATTCTCTGTACTTCAACAAAATAGTTTACAGAAAGCTCATACTACATGGCAATGCATAATACAAAAGACCAAGTGGTTAGGTTGGTCACTAGACTGAGTAGTTACATGTACGATTCCTGACATTCCTGGTATTAGACATTAAACATGCCCTTATGGCAGGGCTCGAAATTCATTTTTGGGACTAGCACCCAACCTAAAAAATTGGGTGCACAAAAAATTTTTGGGTGCACCATATAAAATCTTACGGCTCCTCTTCTAAGATTGAATTTGAAATGGGAGCTAACTTCAAAATATTAAACAAAAGAGTACTACAGCAAAGATTTTGTTATTTTTCTGACCCTACGTGCCCTATGTGCCCTAGACACAGTGTACACACATTTATCTACTGTCTCTATAGCCTCAAAAAGGCTATGGGACTACCTTTACCTTTAACTTTTAAGTAAGGCCATGTTGATTTGATTATATGGATGACATCCGCGCGCGCATGAATTTTCGGCCGTTTCCAAAAAAAAAAAAAGTTTTCAACCATACTGTAAATCGTACAAAACAGTTGCAAAATGAGCAAAAATATACCATAAGTTACAAAAAAAATTGATAAAAACTATACCAATGTCGTAGAATGCCAAAATCAAACGAAAAAAGACGAAATTGTAAAGAAATGAACTTGAAGACTAGATTATTCGCCAAACCATATTCTGTGCCATTTGCTCAACCCTCATGACCACGTAGATTTCATAATGAAAAGAACTTTTTTTTTTTTTGCAAAACTTTTTTTTTTATTTGCACGCGGTTTTGGGGCTCCCGGAGGATGTCATCCATATAATCAAATCAACATGGCCTTACATGTATTGGACAAAAATCTTTGGATCACAATTTGTATTCTCCAATACTCAAGTCTTTTTAAACCAAGAATGTCAATCGTACTACGGTATCTTCATTTCTTAATCTTAAGATGATCGTTTCACAAGGATGAAAGATGGCGAAAGTTGCTACTCACGTGTCATGGACCAAGCAGACGTTAGGACTGCCAGGCGACAGATCGGCTTCTATTCTTGTCAGACAGAAGGTGGTAACAGTCACCAACAGCAGTAAGGTCTTCATGCTGCAGCCTAGAACAACAAAGAAGTTTTCAGTTAAGCAACATGAAAAGAAACCTACAGTGGGGGTCACTGGAAGCTACAGACCAAGAATGTCCAGACTGTGCATGATGTACAAAATGACTGATAAACTGAAGTATCTGATACCAGCCCAGAAAAGAACAAGAAACAGTCATGCCTTCAAATATCAGAGTTATCAACCAGGAATTGAGGTATTCAAAAACTCGTATTTCCCCAGAACTATCGTAGACAGGAACTCGTTGCCACCAAGCACAGTTGGGGCATCATCACTAAAAAGCTTTAAACAACTCCTGCAATTAAATGTTCAAAAATTGAGTATAACAAGTTGTTGGGTGTGATATAGCTAGCTGCCACCGCGCCGCGTACCTGCGAAGCTGGTGTGTTACGCCAAAGGGCGGTTATACCAGCTATACTGATAACAGAGTCAGTGACCAATATTCCCCACTGCACACAGCTATTTTAACAAACCCTGATGGGTGTTAATCCTATTACTTATACTACATTTTACATTTAAACTTTGCCAATAGTGGCTATGCTAGATATGATACTGTTTAACAGTTGGGCTGTGTTACATAGGACGTACATGTAGTATAGTACACTGTGTTTTCACAAATTGACAGATAGCCAAATGTCTTTGCGTTGTCCAAAATTGGCAACAATCTAAAACTTAAATGCCAAGGACACTATAAAATTAATATAAAATCGCGGGAGCAGTTCTTTCAATAATTATTGATTCTGTGAAATTTTCTGTTAATTTAGCAATAACTCAATTGAACGGGATCACAATCTTTTCATGCATACACAATACATATTCTACATGTATATATGGTTTCAACTATGTTGTGTTGCCTTTCTAAAAAGATTGGCCACAACAGTTCTTTTTAAATTAAGATCAATTCTTCTGAAATTTTGAGATCAATCAAAATGGTTACATGAAATATTAAATCTTGTAAATAACCAGATTTCTAAAATCACATTTTCTATGAAACAGATCTAGACACAATGATAGTGGGAAGAGAGGGGGAGGGCACGAAATGACATGTCAACACAACAATCAGAATATTGCCTTTTTCAGCAATAATATGTCACCAACACTCCAATTTCCAAACACTACACCAAAACAACACACCCACTTCTTAAGTCTGTGAGAAAGTTAAAGATAAGATAAGACAGCACTAGAGTTGACAATACCTTCTTTGTTAGCGCCAGTATGACTAAGCTTTCGCGGCTGACATTTTTAAACCCCAAAGGGGGCATACAGAGGTCACAAAAGGTCGTATAGTTTACCTCCACACTAGTGCACTTGTCAACAAAACTCAGATAACACAAGCTTGGCGAAACACTTAAGCTTGGTGTACATCTCTCGAAACAGTTTGTGTAATGTTCCTTCCCTTCTTTTTTACCTAGTGTCAGTTTTGTAAGAGTTTTAAGCAGCCCATACGGCACCAAACGTTGCAACAATTAACATGTGCAATTGCCAGTGGCTTATACATGCATAAACTGACCATTAAAGTCATTTGAAACACTTTAAACTCAGTGTACGTCTCTCAAAACAGTTTGTGTAATGTTCCTTTCCTTCTTTTTTACCGAGTGTCAGTTTTGTAAGAGTTTAGAGCAGCCCATACAGCACCAAACGTTGCAACAATTAACATGTGCAATTGCCAGTAGCTTATACATGCATAAACTAACCATTAAAGTCATTTGAAACACTTTAACCTCAGTGTACGTCTCTCAAAATAGTTTGTGTAATGTTCCTTCCCTTCTTTTTTACCGAGTGTCAGTTTTGTAAGAGTTTTGAGCAGCCCATACAGCAACAAACGTTGTAACAATTAACATGACAATTGCCAGTAGCTTATACATGCATAAGCAAAACATGAAAGTCATTTGAAACACTTTAACCTCAGTGTACGTCTCTCAAAACTGTGTAATGTTCCTTCCCTTCTTTTTTACCGAGTGTCAGTTTTGTAAGAGTTTAGAGCAGCCCATAAGGCAACAATCGTTACGACAATTAACATATGCAATTGCCAGTGTCTACATGCATAAACTAACCATCAAAGTCATTTGAAACACTTTAACTCGGTGTGCATCTCTCAAAACAGTTTGTGTGATGTTCCTTCCCTTCTTTTTTTTCTGAGTGTCGGTTTCGTAAGAGTTTTAAGCAGCCCATACAGCACCAAACGTTGCAACAATTAACATGTGCAATTGCCAGTGTCTACATGCATAAACTAACCATGAAAGTCATTTGAAACATTTTAACCTCAGTGTACGTCTCTCAAAACAGTTTGTGTGATGTTCTTTCCCTTCTTTTTTACCGAGTGTCAATTTTGTAAGAGTTTTAAGAAGCCCAAACGGCACCAAACGTTGCGAAAATTAACAAGACTTTTTGTGCAATTGCCAGTAGCTTATACATGCATAAGCAAAACATGAAAGTCATTTGAAACACTTTAACCTCAGTGTACATCTCTCAAAACAGTTTCTGTAATGTTCCTTCTCTTCTTTTTTACCGAGTATCAGTTTTGTAAGAGTTTAGAGCAGCCCATACAGCACCAAACGTTGCAACAATTAACCTGTGCAATAGCAGGCAGTAGCTACATGCATTTATAAGCAAACCATGAAAAAAGCAACTGGCATAATTTATAGGGATCAACTTTAGCACATTCATTGTAACTGGCTATAAAATGATTCAAGGATGGTTGGTTAATTTTTATGGACATATATTTTTGTTATAGAGTCCATGATCATTTTCATACAGTATATATACATCATGTTGTAAAATGTTTTATAATATAACTTGGACAAATTGGGATAATCCTTCGATGTATGGACCGATTATTGCAGGATCACAAAGTCACAGCAGGAGTCCAGGTAATGTTTTCTTTCAGTTGGTTTTGTCAAAGGATACTGACAAGAAGGTAGCTGTTTACTTCAACTTAGGCCACACCAATTTAATTTGTTGGTTTCTCAGATTTTTTCATAAAAAATATGAAGCGACAGGGCGAAAAAAATAAATAAATAAAAACAGGTCTAGGCTTCCTATTAAAGCCCCAAATGCTACAATAGGAGCCATGAAGTCAACACAAAAGGCTGGGCTAATATTTAAACAATGAATTTTGAACTTTTAATCAAACCACTGTATTGATAGATGGAAAAACTGTAACAACTAGGAAGAAAAGGACTTTCTTCAACCATTGGGGCCAAAATATGTCTTTCATCGAGCATTTTGCAGTTAATTCAGAACCTAAAATCTTTACTTTTTTTTTGCAAATCAGAAAAAAATGCAGGGCGAATCCGAGAAACAACAAATTAAATTGGTGTGGCCTAATCAATGAAATTAACGTTAATCCTATTCATATACTAGCATGTCTGTTTGAATGTTAATAACACTTTTAGTACAGTCTATTTGTCAGTTTAAAAGTGAAAACAACAGTAAGCATTGTCTCTTTTACTTCGAAGAGGATTACATTTTTAAACTTAAAGGGCATGTTTATAGACCATAGTTTACACATGGGCATTGCCTGCATATACGGTGATCATAATTGGCACTGTGACTGAGACAACGACGGTTAGATTAGATAAGACATGATACCTCTGGGTCATCACCGAATATATGGCATGTTTTCAGCATGAGTTATTTCAAGTAGAATACCAAGAATAATCTGCAAAGATACGAATCTACATGAGACCACACCAATTTAATTTCTTGGTTAACAGATTTTTCTAGAAAATTAATGGAGCGGGCAGGCGAAAATAAAAAAAAAAATAAAAACAGGCCTAGGCATCCTATTATGGCCCAAAATGGTATGAAGCCAACACACCAGGCTGGTTCAAAATTTAAACAATGAATTTTGAACTTTTAATGATACCACTGCATTGAAAGATGGAATAACTGTAACAACTAGGATGAAAAGGACTGTTTTCAACTGTTCAGGGCAAAATATGAGCATTTTGCAGTTGATTCTGAATTTTCATTTTTATTTGCAAATCAGAAAAAAATGAAGCGGGCGAATCCGTTAACCAAGAAATTAAATTGGTGTGGCCTGAGTGCTTCTTTGTTGTACCCTTTCTTGATGTTTTGTAGCAACACAAATAAACTTTCTAAGATGGCTTGTTTACCGATAGTTGAATATAACTTGGATGGTTAAAATTATCTATAATGCAAGAAGCCAAACTTTATAACTGTATAACATACAATATACAACTGTCTAGCAAAATTTTGACCTTTAAAAATCAACGCTGACGTAAAACTAGCCCAGTCAGGCAAAGTTGTCTGACATGAGGGGCGTATTAACTTTGCACCTATTGTTCCCTGTCCTGAACTTTCTCCTCACCTGCCTATTCTTCTACTTCATTACCTTAACGAGACATCACACCTGAGCTAGTGACGTAACTACAAACTGCACGCACGTCAAAGCTGCGCGGTTACGCGTAGGTTGACCGACTGGTCGCTCCGTATCGTGAGTGTGGCTAATTTTGGGAGAGGGCTGGTCGTTTTTTTCAGCCACACATTGTTGTAATCACTTGTCCGCATGCAATGGACATTACGCCTGACTGACCAATGCGTTTCATCGTAAAACAAAGTTGAGCTTTTGTCACTCTGTGTCTTCTGGGTTATTTTTAAAAAATCTTTGAAAACTGTAATCTTTTTCATTATCTTTTTTCATTAACACTTCAATATTTTTTACTCTCTTTACAGCAACTGCATATTCATGTAAATTATGTAATAATTTTGTATCCCCTAACGTCCTTCAAATTAAGATGATATCTTTTCTGCACATGGTTTTGAAATTGAAACTTGACCAGGGACTTGAACAATTGATGACGGACAAAAGTATAGATTTCAGGATGCCTTCAAGCAATGCAATTTTTGTGTATGTAACGTGTATGTGTATATAAGACAAGTTAGTCACAAGCTAGTAAGGCCACACCAATCTAATTTGTTGGTTCTTGGATTTTTTCAGAAAAAATATGAAGCGACGGGACAAAATGA